GTTTTGATATGAGAAAAAGAAGCGCGAGCTACATGTGTCTAGACATCGTTGTCATGTCTCCAGGGACGCTAAATGGCGTCATTAAGCACATAGGTATAATATAATACATTTACCATAAATGTTGTAGAAAGAAGTGAATGCAGAAAGCAAAAGTCCACTTTGATGGTGATAAAACGTAATTTCATTTATAGCATAGAATGAAGACAGATATTTGTATTTCTTATTGATAATTTATGAAGCTATTCACCCCACCAGTGATTATTGATACCGAAATTTAGTAAGACTAATGAAAGTATATTTTTCGGCTTCTTTAGTGATAATCAAGTTTAATTATGTCTTGGCTTAACTTTATGCTTCGTCTGATTCTTTTACTTAATGTGTACAAATGAAGCGCTAATGAATATATCAAAATAGAACTTTGCACAAATATTGCCTTAAAATATGCCATCTAAAGCCAGGACATTGTCAAAATCGGATCTTAACGTTTCAAGCCGCCATATACCGAATATGGGAAATCTAGTATATAAGGCGGAAATTTCACCCAAAATATCGGTCAAACTGTGAGATGTCATATTTAAATTCGGAAAGAATTTTTTTCTGATAATAATATACCCAAGTGTTAAAAATGTGTAAACTCGCGTCAATACTTTGCTTACCCCCAATATCTAATATAAAGATTTTCGAACTACCGGTTGACTTTACAAGTATATCGTATATAGCAGTCAATATGTGAGTTATATTAATAGAATTCAGAGAGCGTGTCTTTCGATATAGATGAAATCAGGTGAGCCTCCAATATACCTAATATTTATAAGTATTTTCATACTTCCGGTTCAATTGGTGAATCTGTAAGGTTTCGTAATGAAACTCATAAGGAATCATTTTCTCGTAATAAATTGTCTTGATGCGAAAAATGGATAAATTCGGATCAATATTACCCCTATACCACATATACCTACATACAGTTGAACTTACACCGTATATATCGATCAATATAATACTGCATATACTTTAATTTAATGCCAAATGTATGTTAATAATTTGCTTTGATCCTTGCAAATTGCGAGATTACCGAACTTATCTTTTCCTTACTTTCCTTTCTACATTCCAGGAGCACTAGTTGTTATAATTTTAACTTGCCAAAGTATAAAGAAGAAACCTAGTCTAAGGAAAATCATAAAAAAATATTCTCAAGACATTGTGAGATTTTCGAGGAATTACTACTGTGATCAAGCCTTCTTCGCTTCGGTTTTTACCTCCATTGTCAAAATGGCATCAAGGCGAGTACGGTGGTTGCCGAACGATATGAGTCGTTATAGACAGTTCTATCAACCTAGAAAAAAAATGTTATGCCTTTTGGATACTTAGGAGTTTTTATATACCATACATATATAATTTAATATCTAAGAAAAGTCTATTAAATGACAATCAATACCCGGGTTTGGATTTATCCATAATTTAAATTGATCTGTTTCTCGGAAATAACCATCATAATGGTTTATTTTAGTTGTCATCATTTTATTTTAATTTGAAATATAGAACTTGTCGTGTCTGTTGCCAAGAGAATCATTTGGGTCAGTGATTACACATAATAACGTGGCTCATCAAAATACAATTAGAATTTTATATCGTTCTGGAAATTGGCCTAAAAATATTCTAAAGCAATAGTTAGGTTTCATTAAAATTGGTGCAATATACTCAAGTAAATTTTCCTTTGCATAACAAACCCAAAAACATATAAACTCAATATTTATGATTTATATTATACAATTTTTAAATGTTCCTTTTAAGTTTCTCTATTTCTTTGGGTTACGAAAAATTTAATATTAAATCTTAGTCTACAAAAATTATCTTACTCTTAATTTCAAAATTATTAATTTTTGCCTGCACATAATCTAAAAGCCGCACTAGCCCATTATTAAAGAAGCCAGCTTAATGTTGTACTGAGATACTAAAATTGCTAGCTAAAAAAGCAATAACCAGCAAGTGATGGCGACGCAGCCAATATGAGCCTCCGATATGTGCGCCGGCACATATTCACTGGATTTTTTAACTAATAGCAAATATCTATGAAAAAACCTGTAAATAGTTCCGAGTAACAGAAAACAAAAAAAAAAAATGCTTATGTGAATACTCTAAGTGGTAGTGTAGAATTTTTTGGTAAGAAAAAAAAAATGCAAATTTTTTAGATGCATAACCGATGCTGAGCAACACAGTTGGGCGGCCAACGTCCGGAATGACACAATTCCGCGCTTTTTACACAAGCAGGTAGGCAAAAAATAAAGTTATTCCATGAACACGTCGTTTTTGTTTTTATAATAAAGCAAAACTACTGATCCAAACACGTACGTGTATAATGTATGATGTGAGTGCACCGATGCGTATGAGTGATTTGTGTAGAGTATTCGCCATTTGTTCGCAACTGAATGTTCATCATACGTCCTGCCTGAGTTGGTGACTGTGCGCTGGTGTTAGTGACGGCTCATTATTTCTGATTTAATGTACGGCTTTTTGGTCTTGCAAAAATACAAAGTTTTACGTCGAGTTTAACGAAGAGTTTAGCCGATTTTAATTTTTTCGACGTTGATAAATTTCAATTCCATTGCGTGAGATTTTTGAATGCCCTTAAATGCGTTTATAACTTAATGCGAATTTAAATGACTTGTTTTGGGTGACTACTTTGATAGCTTGGTTTTTTATTTCTGCAATGTAAATGGGTATTAAATACATAGTTATATGCGAGTTATGGAAGATTTTTGGTAGGTAAAATAGTTTTTTTGCATCTTTGTAGCTGCTTCTCAAATTCTGCAAAATTCTAAGATAGACAGCTGTATAAAGTATTGCATATGCTCTAAGCTTCTTCCATAAAAGTACGAACTCAAATTTACTAGAACAGGAATCTACAAGGACAGAGGCTGAGGCAGTGACATATATGACAGGCCTATATACGCATATTCTTCAGTCCAAAAATTGTATCTTTGTAATGCCGGCTGTCATTTCTGGATTTTCATATATGGTAAATACTGCATTGAATTAAATCATGAAAAATTTTCATGATACATCTTTAGTGTATTAAGGCTAGATTTGTTTAGGTTAAGATTCAGGGTTGATTTTCATCCTCCAATTGAATGCAAAAACTCGTAGGTACGGATCTAGAAAAACCTTGACTAATATCAAGTTGAATAAATTTTTGGTTTACCGTAGAGTTACTACCGCAGAACATTCTAACGCAATGTTCCGAAAGAGTGAAACTCAAGTTAATGTAAAGTTCTTATTAGAAGATTCTCCCCTTATTCCATTTAACAAATTCACAAAATTAAGTTTGTTTTATTTGCTTGGTAGATGATTCCTTGTTATCCATAAAATAATCTCGCAGTTTTGAGCCATACGCTCGAACTAATGGAGTTTAAGTTCAATGATTTCATTACAGAAATCGACAGATTTCAACTTTATTTTAAACTCAGTTCGATCTAAATTTCACTTATGGTACTTACAGGTGGATGGAAATTTGTCAGATTTGACTAAAAATTCTTGGTAATGCTACAATAGATTTCAAACTTGATCACTCTGTTATATGCTCTTTCAAAAATTCTATTTCCACCACTTAAATATCCATAATAAGCGCTTTCCAAGCCTACAATTTCTCATTTCCTCAGTACAATTGTCATTCCAATAAGACTTCAATATCTTACTGAATGCTAATCCCAAATTATTTGTTCAATATGTGCGTCGCTATTGCTATTAGCTAACGGTATCATAGCACAGTTCTCATATGTAACGAGTATATATATTTTGTAGCATGTGCAAACAATAATGCGACCTAAGCCTTGCCATGAAAGCACTTTGAGAGTGAAGTATCTGCAGGCACCTAAGCAATCAATGTGAGAATATCGCGAAATCAGCAAACAACAATAAATGCGTTAAATTCGAATGTTGAAACCGAATTTTGATTTAAACAAAACATAATACGATTCAGAATTACTACAGCATTTAAGACATTTTTCATACAATTTTTGGAACTCTTTTGATAAAGAAATAATAAATTCAATTAATTGCCATAAAATATTTAATAGCTTTTTTGCTTAAATATAATAGTTGCAAAAGGGGTAAAATTTTTGGAAGAGACTCGTCCGTATGTACCCGCATCCATATATAATCAGTTATATTCTTAATATTTCGCACTATAAATTATAAATATATACATTCTCTATTAAAAATAAATAATTGTTAAGCTATTGCATAGCTTCTATCGCAGGCCTTGAGCAAGGGGACAGTTCGCATATCTCATGGGGAACAAATTAATTGAAGAGCAGGGTGATTCAGAAATAATAATATTTAAGATAAAATTTTTTTAATGGAAAATAATTATATGTTATTTAATAAAAGTTTAAATAATAAAAAATAAATTATTCAATATTCGGAGTCATAAAATTAGTAACATTATTATTAATTTGGTAAATAGCTACCCCACCTTTTGGCAAAGTATGTCGTTTGAATTGAACAATACAAATGAAATTATGTATTTAAATCGGATTATCAATGGTAATAAATTTTCACTTATCTTGGCTGGCGATTTCAACACTAACTTCGCTGATAAAATCAGAGCGATTGACAACTTTTCTTTCGGAAAAAATGAATTTGAAAATGAATAATGATCGACAAGAATCCACAAAAAGATATGGGACCACCATTGACGCGGTATTTTCCAAATATTAAGAGAATATCAACTCTCAAACCTCTATTTTTTATTTCAGTTACCATAAACCTATAGTTTCAATGATAAAAATTCTTGAATAACTTACATATTATATATATATAAATATTTTAAACAATATTAACTTCTCATTTATTCAATAAAAGAAAACAATTTGTTTTCTTATCGGTCACCACGCTCAAAACGTGTAACTTGAATTAATATCAAAAAAAAAAATACTGCATAAAAAATAAATAAATAAATATAATTGCATAAGTTGATTAAAAATGCTATTTAATAGCTTTACCGCGGCAGTCCCCGAGTGCGACGAGGCGAATTTTTCACAAGCAAACTCATAAGTCAAAGACAGGAACAGTTTTGAGTCCGGACTATAAGGTGGATGAACAAGTACCTCTCAGGTAAGCTACCGCAGTTTATGGCGACTCACTATCGATAAGGTTGACGTGGTGTTGTCCCAATGGAACACAATTTCTTTCCTATTGCCCAAAGCCAGAGAAACACCGGGATTCTACGACTCTGTTGTTCCATGAATCTTTTTGCGTTAACTCTTGTGGCATCCATACATCTAGCTTCTTTTTGTATCCAAACTTAGCGCTTACAGGACCGTTGGACTAAAGGATTTTTATTCTTTTATCGATATTTTCGACAATTGGCTTTCCATAGCATTTGATTTACTCATACAGTATCACAGCTATAATATACTCTTCGTATGTTCAGTCGTTTGGCTTGCGTTCTAGCGTTTATCGAAGAAAAATTGTAAAATATGGCTTATTTTCTCTTAATGGTGTCCATCAATCACATAACAAGACATTCTGGTCTTTCCAAAGCGTTATTTCGTAACACTTCTAAAATAAGAATTACAGATTACTACAGTCATCTATTGGAAATAATTATATTTCTTTTTACGAGAGCTAATATAATCTACAAAATCTTTGTAACTGTATGGTAACGGTGGGAAGACTTTAGCAGAGCCTTCGATGGAGTAAACTTATTTCAAAGAGCCAAAAGATGCTCAGAGCTCAATATCAGTTGATATCAGCTACATCGTTATTGACAGAAATTCTCTCGCCTCTATTCTCTGTTCAAAGAGCATCTTCTTTTTATACTATAGCGCATAAAGTTTGCCACGAAGTTTGTAACACCCAGAAGGAAATGTTGGATACTCTATAAAATGTATATACTAGTATAAATGATCAGCGTGACGAACTGGATCGATTTAGCCCTGTCCCTCCGTCTCTCTATCTGCATATACGCAAACTAGTCCCTCAGTTTTTGAAATGTCAGTCTAAAATTGTGCACACATCCTTTTCTATTCAAAAGCTTGCTCATTTGCCGAAGCCTCCGATATTATGTACTATGTCCTGCCATAACTTGAGGCCGTTATAAAAATGAAAATATACTAAATTTTTTAATAAAGCTAATTTTATTTTATAATGCTTATATCAAAAGAGCGATGTACAAAGGTTTATTCGAAATGAACACCCTTTGCTTTCATATAAGTCCTCATACCATTCGGCTATTCATAAATAACGGCACGCACAATTTCTGCTCGAACTGCTCAAACAAACAATTTTTGATACTCTAAAAATTTCTGCGAGATATTCAGCAGGTCATGTTCTCCAACTCTGAAAACAAAATATAGTCCAAAGGTTCAAATCTGGACTTCCAGACGGCCAATCATCTGCCGCTATAAAACCAAGAATATTGCTTTTCAGCTACCGCTGGGTGGGTTTTGTCTTGGGTGCTGGAGCAGAATTTTGCTGGAAGATTCAGTGCTCTCCATCGAAGAGAGTATTGCTTAACTGCTTTACAGTGGTTTCTAAAGCAATCTGTTGGTACAATTTGGATCTATTTTTAACCCTCTTTTCACAGAAGTGAAGAGGTGTACAGAAGAGTCCACACCAAACCATTACAACAAATGTATTGAGACCTCATTGAATTCTTCAACAGTGAACATTATTTCATCTGTAAAAAAGTATACTTTCTTGCCCGTTGACCACGTGTCACTGAAGAAGCCGCTTGCATCTGTTGAGCCTAATTGCATTCAAGCTCATTGTCAGCAGATGACCAGTTGATCGACGGTAGGCATACAATGCCTTCGTGAAGAGTTTTTATCTGTGATGGGATGGAAGTAAGTTGTTAGTCTTCAAAATGTCATTATCTAGCCACTTAATGCTATGTAAGCTTTTCGTATCATCCTTATGTCTCAAATCTAATTCAAATTCACTGTAGCATAAGATAGTATATTTTCGCATATTACCACCAATTTTTATATGGTATACAAATTTTAACATTGTCATTGTTCCACAAACTGCATGACTGCAACTCCACTTATCCACCGCATAAATATTCCACGCAAAAGTCCTTCCGTCTATTGCCAACAAATATGTGCTTAGTAACTATATTGTTATTTCTCTTATAGCAACAACGACGGATAAACCAGCTAGCAGTCACCTTTCCGCTTGCTATGTCAATATTGACTAAACAAATATTTCATTGCCGTTAGATTCACCTAAATTTTGCTGATTCTAAGCTTTCATATTTGTTGTGCGACTCTGTTTGTATTCCCCATTGGAAATATAAACAGTTATAAAAATAAATCCTACACTATTTTCACGAATTCAAGTTGCCCTGAAGTGTTTCCCGTTGTCAGTTAATGTTGACGTTGCGTAATTATCGGAAATAAAATAAATTCTTTGTATTAAATTTATGGGAACTTAAAAATCAGAGGTGGAGAAAGCCACATTCTTTGCTACTTCAATACTCAACAAGTAACCAACTTCGATTTTACAATGCTTCAGTGTTTAATACAAAATTGTGATCTCGTAAATCTCCACTTTTCTAAGGCGTCTCTTTCTTTTCTCGAATATTTTACATAAAAAGTAGGACACATGACCAGTATCTGATTAATCTCAGCATTTTTAAAAGCAAAAAAAAAAAGAATTTTATAACTTGACTTCTTGATTACTTCAGTGTCACAAGTTACAAATACAAATATGATCACTAAAGAGACAAATTCCTTCAACTGAAGCTCATAAACTTTCGTCAATAACAATGTAGCTGGTATCAGCTGATATTGAGCTCTGAGCATCTTTTGACTCTAAACTGAATTCCAGTTGAGCTTTGGGTTTCAAAAGTTTGAAATAGGTTTACTCCATCGAAGGCTCTGCTAAAGTCTTCCCACCGTTACCATACAGTTACAAAGATTTTGTAGGTTATATTAGCTCTAGTAAAAAGAAATATAATTATTTCCAATAGATGACTGTAGTAATCTGTAATTCGTATTTTAGAAGTTTTACGCAATAACGCTTTGGAAAGGCCAGATTGTCTTGTTGTGTAATTGATGGACACCATTAAGAGAAAATACACCATATTTTACAGTTTTTCTTCGATAAACGCTAAAACGCAAGCCAAACGACTGAACATACGAAGAGTATATTATAGCTGTGATACTGTATGAGTAAATCAAATGCTATGGAAAGCCAATTGTCGAAAATATCGATAAAAGAATGAAAATCCTTTAGTCTAACGGAAGTTCGATGTAAAGATGCCACATGAGAATTTATAAAGATTGTATAAAATTTTTTTTAAGATTCGAGCATTTATATTCGCGGCAGACACAGTTTGAAATATTATAAAGTATTCTGACATTTTTCTTCAACGAAAGGTACCACTATAAGTAGTCTTTTGCTTTAAAAATATCTTTAAATTTAATTTAGTGTTTATAAAATATTATCAGTTATATTTCAGTGCCTCATTTTATACATTTAAAGAAAAAAAATATTTATTTGTTATTTTTTTTTATATTTCTATAAACCTAAATATTATTTAGTGCTTAATTCATGTAATGCTAAAGTAATATTTTTTTTTTGTTTTTGCAGCAAAACGAGTGATGCAATAGGAAAGTGAAATTATAAGAGTGTTGCATCTTTATGTACGTTATCACAAAGGTACCACCACACATAATAGTTTTATGTATCCATTTAAGTCAACAAACACTTTCAACACTGCACAACTTTTTACGACATTTTACAGCTTCCTTTTCTAAGAATAAAATCGATTTGCACAAAATTAGATAATCTTGATTCTAATCAACAAAAAACACTTTCACTAATTGCAGACAAATACAATTTGTTCTTCGTATAATTCTCATTGTATTTTTCTCTGGTTTACTTATTCTTCACTCATATGTTGTACTTTGTAGCTTCGAATATTCAATATGCAATGTGTCTAACCGTGTGTATGTATGTGTGCGTATGCCAAATTTTGCATTTTCATAAGCGGATGCTTCGTACGCTGCTCATTTTGCCTAGCGTGCGATTCCCACAGCTGCTTTCATCTTTCGTCCTTCGCTTGCACTTCATATCACACCGACACGTTCAAATACATAAGTGTATGCGTGCATCACTGTAATCACAACACCAACACACATTTTTATTTTCTACATTTCTCAACTCTACTCCTTTTACTGCTTCTTCATTTAAGTAAAGCTTTACATTTAGTCAAATTATTAAATTAAATTTATTTATTTACATTTTTTCTTAAGCGGCTTTACTTTTCCAATCGAGATTTTCACAATTTTAACTTATCCCAGCAATTTATCTCACATTAAATTCAATAAAAAAAATATAATTTCTTTGACTTGGAACTGGCTGGCAAAAAATGTTGTATACATTTTACAAGAGCAACGCAGAGACTAGCCGAAAATGTTGTGCACTGCCAACGACGATAACGACGTCGTCGACGAGCCAAACAGCTCCCACGAACGCAATCAACGAGCGCGCATACGAGCCAATTTGCAGCAACGACGAACCAACAGTTTGTATGGAGCAGACACAGAAGCAGTGGAGAAAACTGAGGTGATTTTTGGCTTTGCTGCGATTTTGATTGTTGCTGTGGTGGCTGTGAGCACTGCTAAAGCCTTAAGTAGTGCGCACAGTGGGCCACTTGAGGGTGAAACGGCACATAAACTATTTTTAGTTGCACATTGATGTAGTTTACTTTAGCCTACAAAAAAAAATTGCTCTACACCTGAACGTACTTTTCGACTGCTAATACACCATACATAAATAGTAGGAATATTAATAGTAGGAATTTTAGCTATTACTCCTCTTTGCTCAATTATTGATCGAGCCATGAAAAAAGTTTGGTTAAAGTCCATTGGCCGTTGGTAGGTACGCCATCTGTGGAATAATATAAAAAGCTGTACCGAATGATAGATTTGTTATAGCCTACAGAGAGTTAATACTTTAGACAACTCTGCAATGTAATTTCACATTAAGCAGATTTTTTTCTTTCGTTCTGGAAACTAGCAGGCATCCCATCGAAAATACTAAAGTGGTCGAGGGGTTAAACTTTTGGCTAGGCATAGAAAAAGTTTCTTGAAACTATTTGAAGTGATATAAAGCACGACAATGGCTATTCGAAGACTACACTATGTCGAATGGTTGGTGAAGTGTATTATAGCCATGCTAACTGGGTAACAGAAACTAATATATTTCGAGATATTTTGAAAACACAATAGATTGGGATTCATTTATTTTCGGATTTCATTAACTACTACTACCTACTTAATCAATGCTATTATAAGCTTTATTTACAATCAATCAAGAGAATGCCGCGATACTTGGCCATAGGTTATCCCCAGCTTTTTTAATTTGTTGGCTAATCTTTTTCTATACATATGCATGTGAATATTGAAGAAAGCGATTTAAGAATGTAATTATTGAAATATTTATATTCTGACTTTGACCCGTGGGAGAAAATACTCGTTATGAGATACTGTTATTGGGGAGACGATGTTATCTAATTGGCGCTTGTATTACCGATCATATCATTGACAAAGAGAATGGTAAATTTTAATCCCGGAAAAATATAGTCGTATAGGAATATAAGTGAATTCAGTATTTTATTCATTGGTAGCGCCTTTTACCTTAAACGGAAAGTTCTGTAAATTTAATGCAGTTACCGTATGTCCGATTAGGTTTCTAGTATTGCCATATGACAACCGGAGCTTTCGGCTATATTTTATGAAGTGGTGATCAATAAATAAAAATAAGTTCTAGACCGACTTTGAGCTTAAATCATATTCCACTATAAACTTCCCTATTAAGTTCTTCATCACAGGGCTCACTAGGTCGTATACTCGTATAACGTGCTTATACGTATGTATAGATAACTCTTAATAATATTTGTGGTAATAATAGATGAATGGTAAAAATGCGAAATAGTTCCACTGTCTGAGAGCTGCGCACGTAACAGAACTCTCAGTGTAGTTGCGTTGCCGTAATTGTTATTGCCGTTGCTTATTTTGTTGTCATTGAGCTGTTTTTCACATGAAAATACTGGGAAATTACCAGTATTCGGGAGAAGAGAAAAATTTTTTGTTGTTGTAAACGTTTGTTTGTTTTTGTCTGTGTTTGCTTGACTGGTTGATGGGTGGTTGTTTGATTTCTTATTTTGCTTGGTAATTTCGGCATTTTTTGTTTGTTTTTCCAGCTTTAGTCTTCAGCGCGCAATTACAAAAATTATTTGGTTGATTTTTACCGGCATTGTCTCGCTATTGTTCGTGTGCGTTTAACGAGCGCATTCATTTATATGTTGTATATACACATACACATAAACATATATGTTTGTATGCAAGTAAACAATTGCAGGTGAATGCAAAACAAATTAACTAAATTGTTGCTGCTCTAAACTATTTATTGCCTGAAATCTCCAAAAGAAATGTATATTTAATTAAATCTCGAATGGACAGCAAGTAAAAAAGCGTGGAAATGAATTATATAGAAAATTTCAAAAATGAATTGTAAGCCTTCAAAAAATAGAAAAAATTATAAAGTGCAGAAATATACAATTATTTAATGGTTTCTTAGTAACTTACTTAGATAATGCTTAGAGGTGAAAAAAGCATGACTTCTTTATCGAAGTATTTCATATGCTCTTTGTATCATAAACTTTACACTTCCAATTTGTAAAAAACATTGTACTTCGCCACTCCTACTTCCCATATAACAAACTTTTAAATACTATCTGATTATTTTACTTTACAGTATACAAATCAAATATCAGTGCAGTTATTAGGTAAAATTGCCCAAATAGTGTCTTCAAAGTATTTAATCTAATGCTTAAAAATTTTCGAAATGGGACTATAACTTTTTGTGGACCCAGACACCAAATATGTGGACACCAGTGCGTATGTCTGATTTTTTATCGAACATATCGGTTAGTCTATGAGTTCTAGTATTGAAATTCGGGGAGTATATTTTTTGTGATAACAGCATGCCCTTGTGCCAAAAATGGGTAAAAACGGTTCAAAACTTCACATAATCCAAATAACTAACATAAATACTTTCGAACTTCCAAGTTAATTTTATACCGCATCTATCGGTCAATATGTTAGAAATCTTAATGGAATTCCGAAAAAATCTCTTTCTAATAATAGAGCTTCTACTTGCTTGAGATTATAAATAATGAGTGTAATACTTTCTACTTTTAATCAAAATATATATGAAAATTCCGCTTCACTTTACCTTGCGAGAGTATAAAATGTTCGGTTACACCAGGACTTGGACCTTCCTTACTTGTTTAACTTCGGGATATAGATATTTCCAAACATAGGAAAGTCTATAAAGAAAGCTCTCTAAAAATTCCAGGTAAATCGGTCCAGTAGAAGCCGAGAAATCTTGGGTATCGTTTTCAAGAAGACAGTTTCGAGAAAAACGTGTTTTCAAAGTCGGTGACGAAAATTTTTCCGAAACGGCTGGACCAATCGACTTGAAAAGTCGCATATCGTTCTTACATTAAACTGTCAGGTAATAATCGATTTAAGATTTTCAATAATAATTTTTTTAGCCATTCTGAAGTGTACATTTTTTTTGGATATTCGATCATTATTTGTGTTCATCTATTGTATTAATAATGTTTCAAATGTATGGATTTTGCGATAATATTATTACATTTTCCGGAGGTCTTCTTGGAGATCCGTACGGAATTAAGGGCATCCAAAACTTTACAAAATGAGTCGCCGATTACTTTATTAAAGTACATTAAATGTAAATAGTATAAATGTAAAAGTACATGATTCTTATTTATTTAGTAAATAAAATGCTTCTTGAAAAAGAAATTCAAAATCTCGTTTTTTCTGAACTGCAAGTTGATATAATCCCTAGAAGTAAGTATATGTACATTTACTAACATTTCTTAAAACTTTTCCTTTCAAGTGTCATGTATAGACTCGACTAAGTATATGTTTTTGACACCAGATGTCTTCGATTCGCCATTCCTCTACTCGCTTCTGCTCTCTTGTCAAAAAAATTTTATGTAAAAGCAACAACAAAGTTATCGAGTTAAATTCATACAAGAGAGTGAGCGTCTACCTCATTAAAGTGGTATGACCGTTAGCTTCAGTGCTAAAAATTTTTGATTAGTTTTACTATTGTGAATGATTCAAATGACAAATGAAAATACAAATTTGTTCTGTGTTTTTCTTGTATTTTTTTAAATTAAAACTTAAAATCAATTAGAGTAATTTTTAAAAAACAAAAATAAATGGTTACATCAACATTTTTAACACGAAAAAAAGCATTTCTCCACTAAATGGATTAAGGGTGAACAAGAAGCGACAAAAAAGCGGCAATACTTTTAGTATGACTAGTAAGTGACTAAATAGTGACTAAAGTAGGAGTTTTCGATTTTTTTATTATAATGGGTATAAACGCGTTTTATTGTTAGATGAATAGTTAGATAGCGAACCAGACTTGAAATAAATTCGATTTTCAAGTTTCGATTATATTTTATATGCGTCCAAGAATCATCTGATTATTTTTTTCTATTTATTTTTTATTATTTATACACCTCTTAAGTTAAACTAAACCATTTTTTATTGTATATCAGTATTGGTTTGTACACTTTTGGCATATATTGTACTGCTATGCTCTGTACAAAGCTTCGTTACAGTTTTCATGAAATAAATTTCTTCCTTGCCATTGTTGATGTGGGAATTGGTGATGAATGAAGGTGTTAAAGGTGAAGAGTGAAGTGAACAGAAGGCGAACACGTAGAAAACCATGGACTAGTTATTGTTATTCAGTGTGCGCTGATGTAACCTTGCTATTGTTGTTGATGTTTTTGCACAATTTGTACAGATTTGCAAAATTTATAATGTACCTGTTGGTCGAGGTGACAGATGTGACGCTTATACAATTTGTATGCATTTGCATGCAACACACAGACCCACATACATATTTATATATATAATATATGTCTTGTGCACTTGCGAGGGAATATGCAACTATGCATTGTAAATGTAATTAGAATAATAAAGCTAATAATAGGTTAAAATATTTTATTGAATCGCTTCAAAGATTACATTTTTATACCCTAAACAGGAGTTTAGGTAATAAGTTTGCCACGAAGTTTGTAGCACCCAGAAACGACGGAGACCTTATAAAATATAATCGGCGTGACGAACTGAGTTGTTTTAGCCATGTCCGCCTGTCTGTCCGTCTGTCTGTATAAATACGAACTAGTCCCTCAGTTCTTAAGCTATCGATCTGAAATTTTGCACCTGTCCTTTTCCTTGACTAAAAATCTTTTTAATGAATATATCTTCTATTCCTTTTTCCATAGGATCATAGGATTCATAAAAGAAGATATCTAACTCATAACGATGTGTAATCCTTTAAGGTCAAATACATATATCT